TATCAGACTATAACATTTACTTAGTATCAAGCCCTAGGATCTCACGGTAAAAACCGTTTCCAGTGCCATGTCATTACTATCATCTTAATTATTACAATGGAACCAAAAACCCAAAAAGTTTTCCAGTGACATTTCAAAACTAAGAAATCAAAATACACAAATATAGTATTTTCCCACTCGCATTCTTAACTAGTAGAACAATTCTTAAGACTCAGCTTATATAGGAATTTTTAAAAATGCCTCAGGAAACCCATCATATTCCACAAAAAAAAATAAACAAGGCATATTTCTGCATAATTATTTTAAAAATTTAACAGAGAATCTCTTTTGCCAGGATAGATGTCTATTTTGTGTGATATATAATATCTATGCAAAACAGACCCGAAAATTGTTCAAAAATATAGAGTGACTAGGAATTTTTAGACAGTTCACAGTCCCCTATATATTCGTGCAATCATCGAGATATAGTGCATCTTGCTGTTAATGGTGGCCATCTCGATTTTCAAATGTACCGAGGGGGCAGGCGTTGGGGATTATAGCTGTAGGGGGAGGGGGGCGAGAAAAATAGAGGGACTGTAATAAGAGCAGCTTGTGGTTCGCAGCTCGCATTCACAGAATGTGTTGTACCAGCAACGCAGGCATTTGATTTGTCATTAGACAATAGATGTTAATTTGCATTGACAACAGTTTAGTTTAAGTTGCCGACACTGACAAGTCGTTGACAAGTTGTTGTTTCTATAAAACGTACGCTTCATAATAGTACTACCATAAGGCACATCTTGTGTCAATACATGAAGGATTCTTGGCCCAGAAACTTTATAAAATCACTGCTTTAAAAGGAGATATTTGTAAACACGTGTAATAGATGCTAAAAGTGTCTGGCATGTTTTTCATCACCAGCGGAGTTTCTTAATTAATGAATGGTAAAAGGTGTAAAATTCCTGTCACGCCTCCTGAATGCGAGCTGCAGTGATGTTATTACAGACCCTCTATTTTTCTTGCTTCCTCCCAAACCGCCCCCGCTCCCGTCCCGCCCCCTTAAGTAGTTTTGACACTCATGCAAGATAGCAGCCCATAACGCAAAGCGCGCGATTTCAACGATCTTACAGAAAAATAGAGGACTGTGAACAGTCTCAAGAATTTTCTACAAACTTATTTTCTGACGCTGTTACATTATGCTAATGAGGTTAAAGCTAATTAGCATAATAAAAATCAACACCTCGTGGTTTGCTGTTTACCTTCAAAAGACGCTTCATTTTTTAGTTTTTTAACGAAATATCGGGTTAAAAACTAGCAAACATGAATTTACTGATAGAATTCATCAAAATAAACAAGGCTTTGAAGGCAAAAAGCTAAGCGGGAAGAAATTCCTCGCCTTTGAAGAGTATCAGAGAGTGTATGTGGAAGACATGGCCGGCTCGGCGAAGAAGGCGAATTGTACGTAAAGATTCTCTATACTGTTTTCTTACCTCGATTTTTGCTTTTCATCCTCCAGAATCCTTCAAAATAATTTGCTTCACTTGTATTTGGTCACAATTCGTCGATACAAGCTTTCATTCTTTGCAAAACCCGCAACAAACTCCTCGCCACATTTCTCAGTTTTCAAAAAATCGTTCCGTGAGGCTAATAACCCACCGGGGGGCTGGGACTAGCCACCTCTATTTGTGCGCGCGCCAAATTTGGAGATAGCAGGAAGTAACGCAAAGTTTGGCGAATATATTTCATTGAGGCCATGATAGGCTCGATTTCCGCCGTCTCCCGGGTCCGGTCTTTGATCCTCCCCGGGGGATGAGTGCGGGCTCATTTTCCCGAACAGCGGCTGGTAATCGAGCTTAAGGCCATGAGGACGAGTGGAATAATTGTTTTAGCAAAATCCAACTAGTTGGTCAAAAATATCGAGAATAAAAAAATTTTAGCTAGTTAAAACTAGACTTTAATCCTTTTTTGCCGCCAAAAAGTCCGCGCTTTTCCCTACTAGGGGGCTATAACATATAGCCTAGTAATAGCTCAACCAATCAGAACGCAGCATTGATAATAGACCACCAGTTGGATTTTACTAAATTTCGTTATAGGTCCTGAAGCTCCTATATTTACACGACCGGGAGACAATTTATGAGTCTCGCTGCTTACGCAAGCGAGACTTAATATGATTTGAAAGGCAGCGGAGAAATAATAATTACATCACCGCAAACTGCATCATGTCCAGATGGATGTTACTAAGTAATTAGCTCTTTTTACGAACGATATCATTGGTTCGTGTGCATGCACTAGCCAAAATAGGCTTAGACTTTCGTTCCTCCTTTGTAATTATCAAATCTTAACTTTGATTCTGCTTTACAATTCTACATGACTCGGATACATGTATTAGACTACAAAAAATGTCATTTTCACATAATCGAAAAATTTGCATTTTTTCAAAGTGTGGTCAAAAATTAGCCTCCCACGCAGGCGTTTTTAGGGGAGCTCGTTTTTCATTGAACTCCCCTAAAAACGCCCGCGTGGGAGGCTAGTCAAAAATTGGAAATTTCTTTCGAGTCTGTTTTTCTTTGAAAAAGGCTTAAACACGTATTTTTATGATGCTGTTTATAGAAAAGAAAGCTTTTTAGACTATAAAAATGTCATTTTCACATAGTCGTAAACTTTGTGTAATGTGATGTTGTATATGAAAAAGAAGGCTTTTTAGACTTTAAAAATGTGATTTTCACATAGTCGGAAAATTTCCATTTTTTCAAAGGAGTTAAACCATGATTTTGGGCTTTCCTGTCTGCTTTCCTTTGAAAAAGGCCTAGATATGTATTTTCATTATTTTTTAATAAAAAAGAAAAAAAATAAAAATGCAATTTTCAGATAGTCGAAAAATCTGCATTTTTAGCTTTCATATTTTCAAGGGGATTCACCCATGATTTTGGTCAAAAATTCGAAATAATTTACCGATTATTACTGATTAACAAAACCGATAACAATCGATAGGAATCGATAAAAAATCGTTATCGATTTCTATTGGAAACCATCGATATTAATCGAAGTCACAACTTTTTTTTTTCGATTTCCTTTGATTGATATCGGAAATCAATATCAATCATCGATAAATATCGATTACTATCGATACGTTTGGCATGCTGTCCTCCCCACTCGGGAACAGAAGGCCAAACTGTCCAAGTGCCCAACTACCCCTCGCAGAAATTAGACAATCAGATGATAAAGTTTTCCAGGATTCGTAGTTGGATGGAGTATTCAAAGGACATCAGAATTCACATCTCCTCAGAGGCGGAGTTTTTGCAACTCATTAGGGACGTGATTGGTCCTATGCTTGTGAGTTTTCCACCTGAGATCTGAAACTAGAGGGGCTATGTCTCGCTGCTCGCTATCATTTTAAAAAGCTTAAACCTGTCTTTGCATCACTAGAATTCCAAAAACGGGGGTACACATTTGTTATAAGGTTGTATTTAGCCAACATTTTCAAGTAATAACTTATGGTATGCCTTCAAAAATCACCAAACAAAATGTTGTGGTTAGTGCTCCCTGATGAAATTTGTTTGATATATTTGTCATAACTCTACAGGGGCATTTTGTGTTTGGGTAAAGGGGTCATTATACGTTTCCGCATCTGCCCCTCCCCTAAGCTAAGTTAATGCTGCTTAGGGGAGGGGTAGGTGGACAGTTTCCAAGAAACGTTATATGAAAAAGAACATGACACCCTAAAAACTCTTTTAGACAAGAGTAGGCGATAAGCTAGTAAAACAACAAAGGATAGTGTTACAGTTTTATTTGCTCTGTCGCTTCATTTTTAGAAAATATATTTTTCGATTACTCTTTCCTATTCCATATGAAAAGGAATACTAATTTGTTTAAATTACAGAATGACGTGTTCACATTAAGATCAAAATTCACTTCGTTTAAATGAAAAAAAAGAAGAAAAAGAAATCTAATCTAGTTTTATTGATAACTTTGATTTAATCATGTGTTAATTTTCAAACACTCTAAAAGAAAATGAGCTACTGAAAGGTACTTCGATGAAAAGAAACTAAATCAACGCCTTCTTGTGAAGTATACGTAGAATTTATGCATGGTAGAACCGGTCGGGGAATAGTTCGTAAGTACTGTCAAAATGCCGCCTTCTATCAAGCTGAAACCGTGCTAAACGATTGTTGTTGGCAAATTCCATAATGCTGTAAGAGTTTCCGAATCTTCAGAATCTTATTAACTGATCAGAAGAGGAATTGAGCAATTTTTTAGACAGGTAGATATTAGAAAAAAGAGATTGTTCCCCGCCAGGATCAAACTCCTTAATAAGAAAACACTGCAGCCACAAGATAATAGCTGACAGTGGCTGGATGCTTGTGATGCCTGATGCCTGCCCTTTTTGCTACGGTTTCAATCTAGCTGTTGAACAGCCCACCACCAAACCTTACAAAATCCAGAAGAGCCGGCCAACATGCATTCTCATTCAGTTATCCTAGATGTCTGTACATCTAGGATACACAACTTATATACTAAGTCAGTTCAATTCTCCAAAGGGGTTAACCCACGATTTTGGTAAAAAAAATTGCAAAAAGTTTTAATTGATTTTTCGTAAAATACGCTTAAAAAGAGTGTTTTCATATTCTAAACAAAAAACAAACCTTTTTAGCCACAAAATGGGATCTTTTCATCAGGCCAAAGTTCGCAGTTTTCCTAAGGGTCTAACCCACGATTTGGTAAAAAATATCTAAAATTTTTCTTTGTTTGTGTTTTGCCAAAAAATATAATTTCTTGATGTCCTAGATACAAAGGAAACCTTTTTAGGCTACAAAAATAGGAACTTTTCATAAGGTAAAAAATCGCTATTTTCCAAAGGGGATAACCCACGATTTCGGTGCAAAAAATTCCAAAAATCTGTATTTGCTTTTTCTCAAAATATGCTGAAAAGAGTTTCTTTAGTGGGAAGGAGCGTTGTGTGACGACATCGTAGAACGAACACATAATTTTCTTACACGAAGGACATAGTGAGGTTTACCAACATGGCGGCCTCGAGGCTCGAAATCAATTTCCGCCGTCTTTTGGAACGCTGCGAAGCGATGGCCTCAGAAATCCAGGAGAATAAAGAAAACGTAAGCTGGAGGTTGGAAAAAGTGAGTTATAGCATTCATCAAAAAATTGTTTTCTACTGTTACCTCTCTAGGATTTGAACAAACACTGAAGAAACTGTCGACCCGAGCTGTCTGGTCGGGTTTGTAACAATTTTTCACCGTTTTTCTACTTCATATTGCAGTATGTTTTAACGTTACAGAGGCAAGCCGCCGACCTAAAAAAGTCAGAAAGGTTAGTTTTAAATGCAGAGTAATAAGATAAAAGTTAAACGAGCAAACGTCAATGTAAAATAGTGATTTTAAATAATAAGCTTAAAACAGCTGATACAGGTAGTCTTTACTCTGACGGGTCTTAATGTCGGGTCGATTGTATTTAGTATTAATATTTTAGTCATCACAATAGAGCTTTTTTATCAGTACCTGACCCAGTTAAATAACGGAGAAAAAAGTATTTTCATATCAAAGGAAAAAATTCAACGTATTGGTATACCGACAATGGACATAGCTAGTTCATTGTTTAATTTTGGTACCCCGATATGGCGGACTGAAGTAGACATCTCCCTTTGGTAGCAGGCAGCGGTTGGCTGGCCTGAGCTAAATTTAAGTTGTCTAACAGTATACAACATTCTGAAAGGCAGATGACTTGTGTCTCTAACGTACTGTAGGCACCAGTGGTCAGGGATGTAGATAATAGCCGGGAGCTGGGAAAAATACCCGGCTGTCAAAATTATTTTTCCAGCTGAAAAAAATGCAGTCTTTAAAAAGGCAGCTGTTTTCTTCTCATGCTATCTGCCCATCAAATGCCATTTTCTATCAGTTATAAATTTAAGCTACATCCCTGGTGGTTGGCTGGTATCAGCTTCCGAGTTTCACTTTTTTGTCACTCTGTAACTAAACTTTCTTCAATTCAAAGCAAAGATTCACATGGTGAAAAAACCTCTAATGAAGATACTGGTGGTTGTTTAATTTTTCGCATCACCAATAAGTCTAGCTAGCATTTCAGGTCATGCTTCTTATGATTAAAAAAGCGTACCTTTTCAAAAACTGGGAAATCAAAATATTTTGGTTCCATCAGCTTGTCGAGTCACATGTAAGATACATTTTTGGAAATAATCAAAATGTTAAATATTAATTATTTTTTTGTCTTGTTACAGCAAACCAAGTCCAGACGCAATGAATGAATACAACAAGAAAGTAGAGTTCCTTAAAGGTTTAATAGAAACACAGAAAATGGTGAGACGGGGATCAGTGTTTTGAAATTTTAAGATGGGCATCTGTTGTTGCATTCAAATAGGAAAAAATATTGTTATAGAAACAACTAGGAAATGCTTGTCATCAGAGAATATATAACAAATAGTATTGTATATCATTTGTATGTTAAGTATTTTACTGTTGGTTGCATCTAAGCGCGGACACGAGACAAAAAAACATGTTTTAATAGGGTCCTTACTGCGAGACATCACGTGTTTTGCCGCCTAACATTTGAAGTTTGACAGCCGTTAGAGCAAACTGTCACGCCAAAGGTAAGTTGTTTATATGTTTTGGTCTGCGTGTTCCACTCACATTTCTTTTTTCTCAACTTTCAGGCATATTTCCCGCTCAGAAACAACGCACTTGCCCGCAGAAATTATTCTTAACGTCTAAAAATTCTTGGAAAGAAGATTTTGTTGAGTGAAAACAAATCAAGTCGACAACAGCTGCCTACTCCAAACTTCACATGTTTGGTGGCAAAACATGTCATGTTTGCACCCAATTAGAACATTTGTTTTTCCTCACACGTACACACTTAGATGCAACCAACAGTAAATTTCCATCTTTTTCTTTTGTTTATATAATTATTTATACTTTTAGAAAAAAAGACAGTCATAATCATTATTCCACATTTGTAAATAGATGTACCGGTACTACACCATAATTATATCTGCATGTATTTACTAAATTCTATTATGATAAATGGTAACAGTAATAATATTAAATAGTTTTCATCGTGATAATAGAAAAAGTGTGATGAGGTATCCGGAATTAGACCCTCTAGATGACCTTGATGAAATGTCAAATTCTCTGTTTGATTCATAGGCAAGCACTGGACAATTTAAAATAACAATCTAGCACTGAGTTGATCTTACATGCAAGGGTTGATTTCCACTGTCATGTAATTTTTCCGTGCAAACGCATGTAAAATTTACTCGCGTAAATGAAGTAGAGGCAATGTACGAAAGGCCACACGTAAACATGAAAGTTGAGCGAGGTTCAACTTTTACGTTACACGTGACCCCTTCCATACATTGTCTTTGTTTTATTTACATGCTTAAAACTTACATGTGCATGCACATAAAAATTACACAACAGTGGAAATCCACCATTAGTCATAAGGGGAAAATCCAGGCACCCTTCAATTTCTACTTGCTCCGAAAATACCTTGATAATTTAGGTCTGTTAGAAGCACTCAAATTCTCTTTTCTAAGGGTTTGTTCACTTAAATTTCTATTGTAGTTGAATACAAGTGTAGATCCATGTAAAATAAGAGTTACCTTCACTTTGTTTTGTAGAAATCACCAACAGAAAAACTTCTTGCCAGTCGGCAGTTAGTGCGTCCGCTGAGTCAAACATCCAATGCACAGACCACAGAGGCAGACAAACGACGAACAGTAAACAGAGCACAAGAACTTCATATCAGGGCCAAGTCACAGATTAATAAAGAGATGAGAGGTGAACTTCTGGGAGAAGGTGAGAATAATGCAGCTTAATTTCACTTCTGATATAATGCACTTGTAGGTTAGTTTATTTCACATTTATTTTTGTTGATTTTTTGTAAGGATCATGCACATTACTGGCTTAAATTCCTCGACACATTACAAAGGTTTTCTTAGGCCAATATTTTCACAAAATTAAGGACTTTCAAGGCACCTTACCACGGCACATTCATTTTGGCTTGTTTTTGGGCATTCTGAGACATGAAATACTTTGGTTTTTAAAAGTAAATTGAATAATAAATTTAATTAATTTATTAGTGTTAAAAGTTAACAAGGAACCTTGCTTATTTTTCAGACAATAAGAAAGACAGTCATGGAGTGCGAAACAGGTAACTGATTATAATTATTTCACTTGCATATTACTAGTTTGGTCCCTTAGTCGCTGTAACAAATAACTCTTTATTTTCAAATCCCCCATTATCACTCTGTTTGCTCCCAATGCAAAACTTGGCATACTATAGTCTTCAAATGCTCCCGGGAGAACTGTGTAGTTCCAAGGGCTTTTGAGAACAAAAACTTTATTTAGGCGCAAAGCCTCAATCGGTGATAAAATTGTTGAGACATTGTACTCAAAATTATGTGGAAACTCCAAAAATAAAAGTCAGTGGAAAAAAATCCCTGATAGCAAGTCAGTATGACTTTTTACGTCTGAACTGGTGTCAACTTAATATTTTCTGCATTATGAATTGTTGGTTAGTGTTAAACAATCTGCCTTTTATAACCTGTGTTCCAGCTCCTTCCCACACATTGTCTAAACCCTCAGAGTGTGTTCCATTTGAATGATCCAAATAAGGATCAGTGACATGTGATCACTCAGAATATAGCACATCAAAGGACTCAATGAATCAACCCTGGGAAAGGATTCATGAGTTCGCTTGATGTACCATTGCATGGTTTCAAATCGAGAGGTGCTGGATATGAGTTGGTTTATCATGGGCTAAACAACACGAGACCTATATAGTCAGAAAAAGCAAAATAGCAACATTCTCAAGTTTGGTGTCTATCGGGCCTATATTGAACGATATAAATAGATGTACGGACGATGTGACCGGCAATCCATACACGTACATCTCTTATAAAAGTGATTTTCAAGTTTACAGATACTTTCATAACCACACTTTCATAACCTCAATCATGTGCTTTTTCTGACCATGTGGGTCTCGTGTTGTTTATCCCATAATAAACCGACTTGTACCGAGCCCCTCTTGATTTGAAACTAGGTAATGGCCAAGTGATCTCTAACCTGGATCATCCCAAAGGAACTCACCCTTAGTCTATACATGCTGTACATGTAGTGTCTGCCATGCAGGCTACTTGTTTTTGACAATCTTTTTTCTTGAAGATTAACAGCCAACAAGAAAAGTGATGCAAATGATGAAAGCATTGACTCAGTTCTACAATACCATCAGAACTTACAAGAAAATATAGCAGATGAAATGATAAAAATGGCTCAGCATATAAAACATACATCTGTCATGGCCAGCAACATTATTAAACAAGATAACAAGGTTACTAGGATGTTTGTCCTTTAAATTATAACAGTAAATAACAAATTATTGGATGAGGTCTTTTCCTGACATCTGAAACAGACTACCCTCAAGTAAATGTTATTGGCTGAAGGTGATAACTCTTACTGAGACTTTGATTATTGCAAATACCGTATTTCCTTGAATAATAGCGGTCCCTGAATTAATCGCCTCCCTTGAATAATCCCCCCCTTTGAGGGAAATGTTTAAAATAATCACCTCCCCCAGCTCTATAGGTTACCCACTAGGGATCATGTTAGCCATTGTGGAACTTGGAGGGTGGAGCTAAAGTGGAGTCTGATTCAGCAAAACTCATCAGTGATGATTCAAGCTCTGATGCCACAGAAATTGAGAGCAAAAATTAATCAAGGAACCAAATCTGGAACACTTTAAATGCCAATGTTATTTTATCTGATGTGATTATTTTTTTTATTTAATGGGAAAATAGAACAAATATTTAGGGCATGACTTCTAGTCAGCAATATTTGAAATAGTGGCCTCCCTCGAATAATCACCCCCTTTTGGTGCCAAAAAAATAATAATAATAATCGCCCCCAGCTATTTAATTCGAGGAAAAATGGTATCCCAAAAACCAAGTCCAATAAGAATTGTTTTATTATACATGGTTGTGAACAAAATAGTGTTATGATAAACACATTGTCCTTGAATACCAAGCTTTGTGCACACAATTTGAAGGCTTTCATAATTAATATGATCAGCTACCAAGGTGACCCCTGGCCTACTGTTATAAATTTAATAGAATAAAAATAGAACCAAATGAAATCTGTACCTGTTTGATTCCCTACCTGCTTGTTTCCTGCGACTTGAAATCTTAGTGACAGCCATATAAATTTGTATCACTAAGTTTGTTTACTATCGTAGAGATGAATTTACCCAAATTTTGGCCAAAACCACTGCCAAGAATGCAAAAAGTCCACTTTTGGTTGACGTGCATTATTCAAAACAAAGGTCGTTAATGTGCACTTAAGTAAAGGCTTTAAACCAGCTCATATAAAGGATAATGCCTGAGCCCCAAGACCTTGTTAAAAATAATGACCGAGCACCTAAGGTCATTATTTCTAACAAGGCCTTGGGCCAAGGGGTATTATTTAATGTACTTTTCCACTGTTTTAGAACCAGCAAGTCATAATAAGGATCTCCTGTTCCACCTCAGTGACCTGGGGTTTAATTTATTGAAACTAATAACTAATGTTCAAAACAACAGAAAGGTGCAGTAATAACAAGGAAGGCGTATTTGCAAATTGGTCGATTTAGAAAGGCTCTATGTACAGACACCAGAGATAAACTTTGAAAAACTTACTGTTCAATTTTGTGTTTTGTTTTTTAGACCTTGGAGCAGTCAACAAAGCTTGCAGATTCAAATTTTGAGAAACTTAAACGAGAATCAGAAAGACTTGAGGAATTAACACAGACACCATGTTCCTGGTGGATCTGGATTATGATAATTTTAGTCTGTATTGTGTTTATGTGGATGATTATATTTATTAGACTTTTTCCAAAGAAGTGATATAGTGATATACTTAAAAAAGGAACTCTCCAAACAAAAAAAGTTCCAAGAACATACAAAGATTACAATATTATGTGAAAATAATATGCAATAAAACAACTATGAAGAAGACTGTTTCAGCTTACTGTGTTTAATTTATCAAGAGCTAACATTCTTTTGAGCCCAGTTAATTAAAAGGTGGATAACGCTATCCATTGGATAAATCTATAGTTATAAGCTAGCGCAATTGGTTTTCCTAATACTTAACTGTTGGACAGTGATTTATCTGTTGGATAGCACCTTCCAACGTTTGAACAACCAGGGACAGGGAACCACTTAATTCAAGTGTCGATGCATTTAGCATGAATTACTAATAGAGGACACTATTATATTTCTCCTACCTGAGACAAGACTGCCATTTCATGTGGTCATCTGAGCCACACAAAGGTCTAGCCATCTAAAGGCCAAAGGTAGTACCTTCAATTCTCAGTTACAGTGACAGCGGACCAGGGAGTCCAACCCTGCAGTCAAGTGCTCTAGCAACTAAGGGTGCTTTCGAAAAGTCAGAACTGGCTAGCCGGACCATGATCGGACCAGTCAGTTTGAAAATGAAATTGGCTTTTTCAAAGAGCTTTTGCTGAAAAACTGTCTCCTTAATGCAAACGTTTCGGGATTTGACTCACTGATCTGGCTGGATAGTTTTGATTAAAAGTCAAATTCTCATTTTAATGGGAATGGTCTGGCCAGTCAGTACTGACAAATGGAAAGCGCTCTAAGTTAGTATTGAAACAAAGAAAATTTATCATAAGGAAAAATGAGGCTGCGGAAAGGGAGGGCAGAGGAGTAAAGTAAGGAGTGGGGGAGGGTAGAAAAGTAAGAGGGTGGAGGGGTAAGGCAAGGGTTAGGGAGTGAAGAGGGGGTGGAATAATTGCACAGATTAGCCATACATCCATACTCTTCCAGATGTATGCAATACAATACAATACAATACAATACAATGTTCTTTATTTTGAGAGGGTAGATATACATGATTAACCCAGTTAAGAGTTTTCTAACACATGGCCCTCTAATACTAAAAGAAATATATACAAATAAATTTCAAAAATACACACATACAATAATTAATTGAATGTAACATTTAAAATGAAATTAAAATTAACACAATATAAAAGTTTAATTAACATAGTTACAAACAATATATCGCAGCAAACTTGGACGATTAGGAGAAATAGCAATTGCAATAAAGCAGGAAACGGCATGCAAAACAGCAAAGTTCTTCGAGATGGGCAACGGAATTGAGTTTTTGAATGAAAAGTTCACGTAGCTTGCGCTTAAAAAAAGCAGAGAAAGAAATCAGAGCATTAGGCGAGACTAGAGGAGTTCTTACAAGCTGTTTGATCTCAAGGGGTAGTGCATTAAAAAGAATAGCAGCTGTAAAGGAGAACATGCACTTGCCAGAGTTTGTTCGGGGCTGAGGGACCACTAAGTTTCCTGATGCGGCACCCCTGGTCATATGAGCACTGTTTGCAGATACAAAGGAGAATTTCTCTTTAAGACATAGAGGGGCTTCAGGATTAAGAAAAATAGAAGATAGCCACTGGAGTTTTTTATACTTAATAATGTCACAAACAGGGATCCAGTGGAGTGTAGAAAATAACGAGACGGATGGAGTAGAACAGTCGGCTTGAAGTATCATTCTAGCAGCACGTTTTTGAGCACGAAGGAGGCAGAGGAGAAAAGTGGCAAATGACTTACAATCCCTAAATGGAAAATGACAGCATTGCTCTTGAACCAAGAGAAAACTGCTAATGTGTTTGAAAGTGAAACCTTTCATGTAAGAAAAAAAAGTTCATTCTGTTCTCAATAAACAGTTGCTACAGTTTCAATATTCACACTGTTTTTCACGATTTCTAGAGGGGCGGTAATTCTATACATGCCTTCTTTGTAGTGCATATAAGATTGGCCGGATAAATAATTAGGGTCATTTATACGAGGAAAAATAAGACGCGAACTGTACCATTTCTACGAACATGTCTTATCTAAGACGGGAACAGGTCGTATAAATGGTTCGCGTCTTATTTCTGTTCTTTACTCGTTTTCATGTGAATGTTGTCCGTAGCAACGACAATCCAACGTGGCGCGCCAAAAATTAACGCATGAGTACTATGCGTTCGCGTCTTATATAAGACGCGAAGGTCATTTAATTATACGAAGTTTTTCTCGTGTTAGCTAAGACGCGTCTCATCTAAGAACAGGTGTTAAGGGCTGTTCTAAAATAAGACGAGTCTTATTTTAGACGAAATGTGCCGTTTATACGGAAAGTTGGCGTCTTATTTTTCCTCGCATAAATGGCCCTGTTGAGATCGTCCAGTACCATCCGAAGTTGATATATAAAAAGTCTAATATATTTCCGCTGTCTTCACAGCGTTATTCACTCAGGTAAATGTACGTCAATAAACTTTCAAATTTATTTACATTATCTTCACTACGTTGTCCACTAAACACCCAGCCGATTCACATGACAGTTTCAAATACAGAATGCAACTTGCAAGTCTCATTTCTAATCCTAATACGCGTCCTTATTCCCTATGGAATTTAAAGTAAGGGAAAGAATTTACTTGCAAATGACAAAATGACAAAATCACGGCTTTGTGTCAAACAAATATAGATGTCTCCCAAGCAACAACAATTCACAACAAAAATAAACTTTACAGTTGCTTGTTTTCTCCCTTCACATTGCCTTTTCATTTCCATGTGTTACGCGATCTGAGCGTGCACTCGCATGCTTCACTCGCTCTGTTTTCCCTGGGTGAGTACTTGCAATTAACAATATTCTAAGGGTTGCTAAATATTGAATTCTCTTAAAGAGAGTTGTATCTCTATGTAAAGAAACAGAATTAGATAAAGTTGCAGTGTAATCATTCAAGATAAGCTGTCAAACTCACATGAAGTTCACCTGAAAAACAGAAGTTTCGTGTTTACAAATACAAAGTTCAATCACACTAAAATAGATCCTACAAAAGATTAACCACAATTTCCACTCGGCTTCCAAAGTGAAAAATGTACAACAAATAAACGCATACGTTGTGGCTTAAGATGAAAAGAACAAGTCAAACTAGTATTAAGATAGTTATAACCTATTCACTTTTTTATTGAGGCTGTGTTCACACTATGCCGGATAGCTCCTCAGCCGACACGAAAAACCACGTGATCACAGACGACAACAGTGATTTCGGCTCGAGTTTTGTAACGGAACAACGCTGCACCGCGGCAATCTTGAAGTGGATCGTCATATGTCGGATATGTTTCTGTAGCCTGCGTAGCATGGCGGTTTTGGTTGGGCGTGCTAAGTAATAAAGGGGGGCGAGGGCAGAGAAACCGCTTTGTGCACGAATTTCGCGGCCCGCGGCGTCGCCGCTCGTGCGCCCGGCTCGACAAAACCGCCATGCTACGCAGGCTAACGTTTCTGTCCCTCTTCGTTGCAGTGTGAACAGGTATTCGAACCGTAGCGGAAGTAAATGAGTAGAAGCGACGACCGGAACCCTACTGAGACGCAGTGAAGATTGGTATTTAGTGCACCAAACCGATGTTTGATGTGTGTGAACGACTTGCTCCAGTCGTGTGCAGTTGCTGTTCACACTATACCCGGATAGATTTTCGTGTCGGCACAATAAGGGATCCAGTAAAGTGTAGATATAGCCCTGGGGCCTGTTTACATGGAGGTGGGGGACCCCAGATAGGTGAGGTAACACGTGGCGGGTCACCCCACCTATCATGTAAGCATGATCAAATTAAAAAATGTGAGAGATTATATGGACAGGCGGGTTACCTCACCTCTCTGGGGTCCCCTTCCTCCATGTAAACAGGCCCTTAAACAGCTCTTGAGATGGTGACTATGGGTCCTTAGAACAAACCTCAAGTGTACTTGATAAAAAAGGGTTGTTTCCCTAACAATACTATCAGCGGGATATCGCGGAATTATCCAGTAGATAGTAGAAAGCGCTATGCCTCTCTTGTCAATTGGGCCTGTGAAGTGTGAGACAAATTTTAACTTTCTTGACAATGTCTATGAATACAGCACCGAGAGAAAAGAACGCAATTCCTCTGATTAAATGGGCATTCTACTAATGAACAGTTACGACTGTTAGATATATTCTGTACCAACAATTTGCCGTCTGTCCCTTCGAATCCTTTTCTTTTTAAGCCACACTTTCACTTTGTCCTTATTTATTACTCTAAACGTCTAAAAGTCTACTTTCCGTGCGACGCCCGTCCACAATGTCGAGACGCTTTTGAAACTTTACTGTCCATAGAAGGTTACAGTGAGTTCAAATGTGGATAATTTTGATCCGTATCTTAACCGAAGTTCACTGAAGTCATATAACAAACGACTTTTGCTTGTAGCGCAACGGTTGTTGACTTGCAATCTCACTGTTCTCAGGGAGGGGAATTTCACCATAAAAACATCACAAAAACCTGGTAACCAGTTTTCATTTACTTCACCGCGGATGTTGACTGTCAGATTGAGTTCAGTTAATGATGTGTTTTCTGAAAAGTGATTATCAAATCTCCATCCATAATGGCGGTCACTTAGGTAGTGTTTAAGACACTTTCCACCTTCACTGTAGTCATTTACTGTCAGAACGAATGTAGTTAACGACTTGTTTTTCGCTAAACAACTTATCAGAGGGAATACCCAAGAATCATAGCTCAAGAAGTTGTGATCACTGACTATAACAGTGAGGGACGTTATTGAATTGTTCATTGGGAGTCCCTCAATTAAATTCTTTGCCCAGCCAGAATAAGTACCGGTGACGTTGTTGATCGTAATGACTAGTTCCTTTAAGGATGAGGTACTTGCCAGTCCATGAGTGAAATCTACCTCCAAAGGTTTAGTAATGCTCGATGAGGTACTTGCCAGTCCATAAGTGAAATCTACCTCCCCGTCCAAAGGTATAGTAATGCACCTGGAAACGAAGTCGGGATCGTCAGGGTCACCCTTATAGTTGTTAAATGTAAGGCAGAGTTTTGTTAGTGACGTGCATTCTTCCAAACATTTTCTCAGAAATTGAGCCCAGAAGTAATTTAACTTACTACCGTTGATCACGACGGAAAGCGAAGACAAGGACTTCACTGCCATCAAATCGGCTACGCGATAGTTGACCTCGCCACGATGGTCAATTGCGAGACTAAGTGTAGTTAATGAAGCCATTTTAGCCAAGCTGTTGACCAGCGTACATTCCCAGCCTTCTGCCATGTTACTGTAGTTCCTGATTGTAAGACTTACGACTGTTAATGAAGAACTTTGCAGCAAACTCTCCCCGAGGACTTTTCCTATTCGTGAATTTATTAGGTAGTTGCTCACCGTAAGGTCCAGCATAGTAAGCGATGTGTTTTCTGCTAAACAATCACCTAGAAGACGTGGCCAGTCACAACTTACTTTACGGTCGTTGATGATTCTAAGATTTATCTTCTCTTTTCTGGTATCCTTCACTTCAGAGAACACTTGTGTCAGTGATGCAGGGTTGTCAATAGAGACATTAAGAGCATTACTAGCTTCCTTAGGAACTTTGCAGACGCCATGCTCCTTTACTTGAACAGTTATGTTTTTATCAGATAGTTCCTGAAGTAGGGCTTTTGTTCCCAGGGCCAACTTTCTCCAAGTAATGATTGTTAGGGAGGATAGTGCATTTTGTCGTCCGATA